ATTGAATTATTCACAGAAACATACTGGAGCCTGTCAGTAAGGTAAGACTTAATGTACTGTAGGGAATGACCTCTGACTCCATAATGTTGTAATTTAAGAAGAAGGTTTTGGTGGTTAAGTGTTAAAAGCCTTACGCAGCCTTAAGAAGCAAATTAGAGATCACCCCAAGCTTCGTCTTGAGGCAAAGCTCAACGCCTTAAGCCATATTGATGCTCTGTCCACAGAGCATTCTCTCTCTCAAATCATATACACTGATGGTTCCCTACACCGTCCCACGGGTGCAGCTCTGAAGTGCAGTATTCTGACAATGGTCGATGGTCGATACTTTGAGTGTGGAGTCCGTATATAGAACTGGGCCGAACCCTTCAGACCGAACTATTTGCCTTGCTCCTTACACTGAAATGTGTACAAGTCTCCAAATTTAATACATTAATTATAAGTGACTCTCTGCAATCATCCTTAATTGCTCTCAACTATTTAAGCCACAGCTGTAACATGATCGTATTTGAAGCTAGACACGAGAACAACAAAATTATTGATGATGGTAACAGAGTCCATTTCATGTGAACGCCATCGAATGTTGGCCTCCGAAAGCATGATAGAGCTGATGAGTTAGCCAAAGAATCTGCCTTTAAAGGAGAAATTGAGTATAACCTTGGATTGTCAATAAGGAGTCTGAGAGCAGCAGTACACCAAGAACTTCAACAAAATTTCGTAGCTCTGAGGCAAAGAGAAATCGTCACCAGTAATTCCATCTATCATCATACTATCATGCAAGAGGAGCCACACATCTATGGTTCATCCAATAAAATCAGCAGACTTCTAGATGTTACTACTGCTCGGCTTAGACTCGGTTACAAGTATTTCTGGGAATTCTCATTATCTGCTGATGTAGACCTGACCAAATGTAAACTGTGTCAACAAAATTATTCGCACTCCATCCGTCACTATGTGATGGAGTGCGAAAAGATACGTGAATTCAGAGACAATTCTATAACCAATGTTCCAAAGATGTGTCAATATTTCATTGAAAATTATCTGCTGCCAGAAATCTTACCTAAATATCGCTCGAACCCATTGATGATGTGACGATGTGTATGGAATTTTGTAACTAGCTCATCAAGATTGTAACTTACTTCGCTAGTTACGAGCTTCAGATCGAGCCTTAGCGAGCCTCAGATATTAACACCAGGTAAGGCTTCCAGCACTTCCACTAGCACGATAACATCATTTATATTTGCCAACATCCAGGGTATAAAAACACGCAAATCCAACAAAGTTCACTTTATAGACGGTCTCCTTTATGAGGCAAATGCAGTGTCTGCAGCCCTAACGGAAACCCACACAAAGGACTACCATGATGGTGAAATATGAATCTCAGAGTACAATCTTTTCAGATGTGATAGGAAACACCGGCTTCAGGGTGGGGTCAGCCTCTACATCAAAGACACACTCATCTGTACTGAGCTGCTAAACACCTCAAATGATATGGTGGAAGTGCTGATAGTCAAAATAGAGATTCTAAATGTAGTTATTGTCCTTGTATATAAGTCACCGGAGGCAAACCCTCAGCAGTTTAAAGACCAACTAATGAAAATAGAACACTGCTTGGAAAACCTCACAAATCCAGCTCCGAACATCATCCTGCTTGGGGACTTCAACCTACGGCACCTGAAATGGAAGCACCTGGCTAACACAGTAATATCAGAAAGAATACCAGGAAGTAGCCTAAATGAACAGGCACATGCAAATGACCTGCTACGGATGTGCGACAGGTTTGCCTTAAACCAGCAAATAGTAGAACCAACTAGGAAGGAGAACACGCTGGACCTCAGTTTCACTAATAATGATGAATTGATCGGGAACATAATGATTACAAATACCTGTTACTCAGATCACAACTTAATTGAAGTTATGACAACCATGGGGAGTAGACTTTCAAAACCAGTCCAAATTCCCGGTGGAGGAGATTTCAGCAAATTCAACTTCAATAATAAACAGATAAACTGGGAGCAAATAAACCAGGACTTCACAGAAATAAACTGGGAAGAACAGCTAGAAAATGCAAATCTGAACCAGTGCCTGGAAAAAAATAAGCTCAGTAGCACTAGAAATATGTTCAAACCGCATACCCCTAAGAAAAAAGAGGTAGATATGCAGATTGGAACGGGAACGTATTCCCTATATAGGCGCAGAAGACGAATCGCGGAACAACTAGAGAGTCGCACCCTATCTCAAGAACGGCGAAGAAGGTTAGGTAGAGAAATAGAAACAATTGAACTCAAGCTACAAGAATCATACAAAACCCAGGAGAGGCAAAGAGAGCAAAAGGTCATCAGTGAAATAGAGAGAAATCCGAAATATTTTTTCTCCTATGCAAAATCAAGATCAAAAACCACATCTAATATCGGACCCCCTCGAACGGGAGATGGAACTTTCACCGATGACAACAAAGAAATGAGCGAGTTACTGAGGAAGCAGTACAACTCTGTTTTCAGAGAGCCATTAAACACACTAAAGATTGATAACCCAAATGAATTTTTTATGGATATGATACCAACATCAAATCATATATCAGACGTCACCCTATCCCCACTGGATTTTGAAGAAGCCATAAACAGTATGCCTATGCACTCTGCACCAGGCCCGGATTCTTGGAACTCCATATTCATCAAGAACTGTAAAAAAACACTATCGCAGGCCCTCCACATTCTGTGGAGACAAAGCCTAGATACTTGCGTTATTCCTGATATACTAAAAACAGCAGAGATAGCACCACTTCATAAAGGAGGAAATAAGGCAGAGGCAAAAAATTACAGACCGATAGCACTAACATCGCACATCATAAAAATTTTTGAGAGAGTGCTAAGAAGTAAGATCACAAAATACATGGAATCACAGCATCTCCATAACCCCGGACAACATGGTTTCAGAACAGGGCGCTCTTGCCTGTCGCAGTTGCTGGACCACTATGATATAGCATTAGATGCTATGGAAGACAAACAAAACGCTGATGGAATTTACACAGATTTCGCAAAAGCTTTTGATAAATGTGACCATGGCGTTATTGCACATAAAATGCGCTCAAAAGGAATTACCGGGAAAGTAGGCAGATGGATCTACAATTTCCTGACCAACAGAACCCAATGTGTAATAGTCAACAAAATAAAATCCAGCCCATCAACCGTGAAGAGCTCAGTCTCCCAGGGTACTGTGCTTGCTCCAGTACTTTTTCTCATCCTCATATCGGACATAGACAAGAACACAACCTATAGCACTGTATCATCCTTTGCAGATGACACTAGGATCTTCATGAGAGTAGGCAACATAGAGGACACGGCAAACCTCCAGTCAGATGTAGATCAGGTCTTTCTATGGGCTACAGAAAATAATATGGTGTTTAACGAAGATAAGTTCCAGCTCATGCGCTACGGAAAAAATGAAAATATAAAAACAGAAACCACGTACAAAACTCAGGCAAATCATAACATAGAACAAAAAGGCAATGTAAAGGATCTGGGTGTACTCATGTCGGAAGACCTTACCTTTAAAGAACTCAATAAAGTAGCCGTCACAACTGCAAGAAAAATGACAGGTTGGATAACAAGAACTTTTCACACTAGAGATGCTATACCGATGATGATACTTTTCAAAACGCTTGTGCTTTCTAGAGTGGAGTACTGCTGCACAATGACAGCCCCTTTCAAAGCTGGAGAAATTGCTGACCTGGAGAGCGTGCAGAGATCCTTTACTGCTAGAATCCACTCAGTAAAACATCTAAATTACTGGGACCGACTAAAGAGCCTAAATCTGTACTCCCTGAAGCGCAGGCGGGGATACATAATAATTTACACGTGGAAAATATTAGAGGGGCTGGTCCCAAACCTGCACACAGAAATAACATCACATGAGACCAGAAGACATGGCAGGATGTGCAGAATACCCCCGTCGAAAAGCAGAGGTGCAACAGGTACTCTGAGAGAGAACTCTATCAACATCAGAGGCTCGAGACTGTTCAACACGCTTCCGCTACACATAAGGGGCATAACTGGCAATCCCCACACAGTGTTCAAGAAAGAACTGGATAAGCACCTCCAAAGGATACCTGATCACCAGGCTGTGACTCATACGTCAGGCTGCGAGCAGCCGCGTCCAACAGCCTGGTTGATCAGTCCAGCAACCAGGAGACGGTTGCTAGGGACTGGGGACGCTAAGCCCTGGAAGCACCTCAAGGTAACCTCAAGGTAGGTAAGGCTAAATGGATTGTGGGGTTCAGTCCCAGAGCATATTATGTACATGCCTCTGTAACCCTTTCCACTACCGTCTACAAGATGGGTATGGGGTGCATAATAAACGAACTAAACTAACTTGTACAGCCACTAGCACGCATAGTGTTTCGGGCAGGTCCTTAATCCTAATTTTTCCCCGAAACACGTCCCGCCAAATCATTTAACAACCATGCAGGTACCCATTCACTGTTAGGGTTAACAGAGGCTACATTTAAGGATTGGCGCCAAGTAAATCCTCCCGGGTTCCGGGTTAGAATCCCAGACGGGACAGAAATAGTTGGGCACATTTCCTTTCTCCTAATTGCTATGTTCACCTAGCAATGAATAGGCACTCAGGAGTTAGTCAGCCTGTTGTGAGGTTGCAGGCTGATACAGTCAACCCTGCTGATCTTATAATCAGGGCGGGGTCAGTAATTCGGCCTTGGGAGGAGGCGGACCTCGATTAAAACCTGTCGTGTATGAATACATTCTGGCTTCCTGTCCCCCGACACAATGAATTCAATTAACATTAAACAAATGAACTTAAACACCCCGCCTTGCAAACATTTCCAAAGAGACACTGGGCCTATTTACATCTTAAATTTATATATATCATATTTTGCATATTATGGTGTCTCAAAGTCATTTGAAAAAATACGTAGCCAATGAGATGTATAATTTTGTAACAATTTACAGTGTGAAAGTTCTTTCCTCAGAAATGGAATTGATGACGTCATTTTGTAATCGTGGCTGGCAGTGTTTACAGTCTCGGGCCAGGACGGGTGGTGCTGTTTATGGAGATTCATGGTCAGTCCTCTACCTGCTCTCCCTCATAACTATGAGTCCAGTCCTTGGTGGCAGTAGTCGTGTGTGCTGGCGGGTATAGTTGAAGGAAAGATGTGTGTGTGTTGGGTAGATAAAGGAAGAGAGTAGACTTAACCTTGGGGGCTCTCTTCCTGCTCTAGCTGTCGTAACGGGGCTGTCAAGGCTTAACACATCTTGTAGAATATAGACCCTTGCAGGAAAGTGTATGGAGCCTTTGTAGTGTATGGTAGGCATCAGATTGCGGGTGTTTTAATATGACGAAGAATGAATATACATCATTGGGAAGTATATAAATAAAGTACAATGCTGTACTGTACATGAAAGTTTTTTTCTGACTAAAAAGGCACAGCATTAATTGGTCCTGCATCATCTCTTCTGCTGTACAATGTATTTGGCTGCAAATAAACACACAAGCAATTAAATACAGCCAGAATATAGCATGTAATCTTTTTGCAATGTTTTGGTAAGTGGACCATATTGATAATAGGGAATAAGGCTTGAATAGTCTGATTTTTGCACTCTTACCTAATTCATAATGACTAATAATAATTGTTATTGTTGGGGAGAGGAGGTGTGTGCTTGAGCTTATGGAGGCCCTGTAGGCCAACTGTCCTCATTTTCCCAAAGAAATAAGGAAGCCCTCAACAGCTTCCTGAATCTCGGGCACTTATTTTACTGCTAGGTAAAGAAGTGCATCAGGTGAAAGGAAACTAGCCTTTTTCAGTCGTGCCCAGGGATTGAAGCGGGTATTTTTCCCTTGGCTATGAGCCAAGGATGTAAAAAAATCTTTAGGTAATAGTTCATAGATTAGATAATTCTCATGTTAGGGCTACTGAATAAAGTATTATGTTTAATAATACCAATTTAGATTCAGCTGACGAGGTAAGGGTGCTCATTAATACTGAACCTATTAAGCCTATGCAGAATATTGTGGGCAGATTATGATCGGTGATTTGGTTGCCAGATATGTTCAGAGCCATCTCCGACCATGCCCAGAAACCAGCATCGGACATGTGATTTGGAAAGCTAATTTGCCCGCCTTTAAACCGATAGTGTGTCTGTGTTTCAGCTTCTGGACACACTGTATTAAACCAAGTACAGTTTTGTTAGTGGCATGTTTCATTAAAAAATTCAAATTCTGCAATACACTAGTTCACTTAGCTGTAAAATACTGCATATTCTTTTTGCGCTCGTGTTTTCAGTGTGCGGCCTCGCTGGCTCTCTCCAAGGGGCACTGTATGTTGGTCAGTTGCTTGACAAGTTCTGTACAGTATTTACTAATAATTCTTGAGCATTACAATCAGTTGATTAAATAGTTCCCTACATTGTTAACTGGCCTTGGCTAATAATTAGCCCATTAAAATGGTGTTAAGAGACGTGTAAGCAGTCTTGTATTCTTGAGCTATTTCTTTAATTACCGAATTGGCACTACCAGCTATGCTGGCACCAGTTTTTGAAACCCAACTTTTGAATTCCTTTCAAACTGTAGGCCTCTTACTGTCATTCTTAAAGCACTACTGACACTAAATTGATGCCCTAGCACTGCTTGGACACTTCATGTGTTAGTCTGCCAATTTGCACTAGCATCACGATCTTATCACCTGGGAAATTGAACTCTTAATTAGGAGCTCCAAATCCCACCACCAATGCCTATGTTCCCACTCTGTGTAGAATATACATGTACAGTATATTAGGTACAACATATGTATATGTTGTACCCAATTGCCAGAACCACACTAGTTGGCAAAGTGTTCAACGTTAAATTTGCATAACAGGCCGAGCACATTACGTTATTCACGTTATTTTCAATTTTCTTTCCAGAAAAATTTAAAAATGTAAAGTTGACTTTTTTTTTTTCTAACAATAATAATCTTTTATATTAGGAATATGAATTACTTAGTTATGTTATGTTAAGATAGGTTTGGATTGGTTAGGTTGGGTAAATTTTGGATTGGTTAGGTTATGTAGGTTAGGTTAAGTTTGATAATTTTTTTTTACTTTTGACTAATAACATGAAATTGTAATCATATATAATAGAATAAAAACTATCATTTCATAAAAATTTGTTGGAAAATTAAATATTTACAAATTTGGCTTGTTAGGCAACTCTGGCTAGTAGATACAGTCAACCTAACCATCTCTCTCCTGTAGAATCTCTGTGGCTCTATCATAAAAATTGAGTAGATTTGTTACACAGGATCTTCCTGTTCGAAAACCACGTTGTCTGTCTTATGTCATTACTCTCCAGGCGTTCTTCTCATTTAGTTTTAACTATTTTTTCTAGTATTTTGACTACCACGCTTGTTAATGATACGGGTCAAATTTAATGGGTCTTCTCAGCTACCATTTTTGTTGATTGACACTGTCTTTTTTTACAAATATCTGCTAAGATTCCTGTGGACAAAGAGGTGTGAAATATTAATTGGAGTGGGATGCTCAGCTCAGTTGCACATTCTTTCAGCACCCAATGTGACAGTTCATATGGTCCAACAATTTTATTTCTTCCTAGCTCCTTCAGTAAATTTTACATTTCATCTAGGGACACCTCTAGGTACTCTATGAAGTTTTCTGGAATTGGCATTAGGTCTGGTTCTCTGGAATTCTGATTTTTCACAAACCCAATTGGGGGACTGTTTATTTAGTGTTTTGCTCATTTCTTTTTCATTCTTGGTGAACCTGTTAACCATTCTCAATCTCTGAATTTTATCCATTACTTTTGCTTGCTTTTAATGAATTTATATAAAAGCCCTGAATCTGTTTTACATACTGTATGTCTGCTACCCTCCTTTCTCAAAGTTTCTGTCTGCCTCTCTCCTCACTGCTGTGTATTTGTTTCTTGCTTGTTTGTAGTGCTGGTATGTTTGGTAGGCTGTTTCCTATAATGTACCCATTTCCTCGTCTTTCTCTCTGGCCCTCACAAATTTGCTGCATTAGCTGCCGCTTCTGGTAATGTCTTGGGCTAACATTCGGGCGCAAGGATTCTGGAGGTCGAACAGGGTCCTGGCTGCCCGTTATCTCGTTAATGTTCCTGGCCCTAGTCAGGCATATGTTGCTTTGGGTCGCAGATTGCAGCCAGTCGTCTCGACTTTTGCATTGAGGTGCGAGTAGCGATCGCCTCCCGGGTTAGTCCCTCTTTTATTTTCTGTGGTTAGATAGCTCCGGGGAGCCGGAGGGGCTCTCCACAGAAAACCTGCATTGAATGTAATGAAACGCCATTTTCTGGGTGAGTTCCCACCATTATCTCTGACCTGTGTTGCCGCAGTTTGCACAGTATGCTGCATTACTGGAGGTGAGGTGACTATGGCCCAATAGATGGCAAGCATAGCATTGTAACACAGGAAAGTTGTAGGGCTGGACCTGATACGAGGTCCTGTGTAGCGTTGATCCTGAAACGAGATACAGACGTCGGCCCTGCTGCTCCGCAAATCCTGGTAACTTCCAGTAATCCCGCTGATGCATCCTCTAACACCTGCTGAGCTGCCTGGGTGTCGTCCACTTCAACACTCGGGTCATTTGGGCCAATCTTACCATACCGGGCCCTAGATTACTCCTCCTCCGACAATACCTGTCGGCACTTGACAGGCTAGTCCCTAAATGTGATGTTGGATAGCTGAACATGCAACAGAGCCTCCTGCCTGATGTGTAGCTTCAGTGCTGCACCTCTACCCAGGGTATTTACCAAGAAGTGCAAAACACCACTATCACAGGCCCTAAACATCTTTTAGAGACAGAGCCTAGATACTGGCGTCATCCCTGACATACTTTAACCCTTCAATTGCGCATCGCATCATATGATGCTTTGACCGACTTGCAGTAAATTGCGCATCGCATCATGTGATGCTTTGGAGTACTACGCAAGATTTAAACGGCCCGCGGATACACGGGGTTCACCACACCTTCATCAGGGCTCTTGTAAACAGACGCCATTTTTTAAAAAAATCGTGGGCCAAACTCCAGGGTGTTAGGGGCCTCAGTATTGAGTCAGCTACCAAGCCTGACGCACGCAGCATGAGCTCACAGCACTGCTGTTCAGCTTGTGACCACAGCATCGCCTAAAAATTCCATAATATACTTGTTCATGCTATTATGTAGCGATGATATTATTACAGAAGACCCCTGACTGTGATAAAACTGACCAGGGTTCTGATAATAGCAGGATTGTGGTGATATTTGGCGCTGTGCGCCATGGAGGGAGGAGTAATGCTGTGGGAGGGAGGATGGTGGCGTTGTCTTTTGTGTGTGTGTGGCCACCTTTTATTGACTGCACTCACCATACCAGCTTAGTGGTTCGCTATGGTGAACACAAATGTAGATACTTATATATAACGTGTGTATAGTGTGAGATAACAGTGAGAGTAGGAGGTTGGGAGCCGCCATTTTGGTGAGGGAGGAGCGTCGTCTGCAGGACTTATCATGTTGTTTACTGATGACCACTATGGTCTTTGGGCACCATACCAGTTTACTTGTACAAGTATGGTGAATAAAACAGGTAGATATTTATATATAATGTGTGTATATAGCGTATTAACACCACAAACAGTATTGTTGTAGGAGAAATATTAGTGCGTCTGGCCTTGAGGGCAGCTGCCACCAGCTGACTGTGTGAGTAGCTACGTCTCTCTGCCTTTACTCACCATACAAGCTTAGATGTACAGTTATGGTGAACAAAACATGTAAATACTTATATATAACGTCTGTATATAAAAGCAAAAACAGTATGGTGGGTGGAGAATGGTGGCAAGTCAGGTGAGGTGAGAGTGGCAGCCAGTCACTGCCTGCCACTGCCACTCGGCATACCAACTTAGTGGTTTGTCATGGTGAACAAAACATGCAGATACTTATATATAACCTGTGTATATAGTGTAATAACCGACAAAGTATTTGTTCACCGTTTGATGAACATAATTGGATCAACAATATGCACACCATATTTTTGAGTACAGCGATGATTCACTCATTTTATTATATAAATAAATCACACTACACACTATTGAATAATATTACAGCAAAAAAACTATGAAAAATCAATCAGAGACATTGAAATAATTAGGTAATTATCTCTTTGTGGAAACTCTGGCCTGACAGCTGGCGATCAACAGACCGCCTGGGACGCACGCTCAGTCAGCGCCTGATTTTTGTCACACTTCCCCGCCCTATAGTGGGCGGGGAAGTGTGACACTTACGATTTTTTTATTATTTTTCCCGTGATCAGTGAACACATTAACAGGTTAGGAAGAAAAAAATTTTTTTTTTTTTTTTTTTGTTTTTTTGGTATGCGCCTGTAGGTGTCAAATGGTATATAGCTATGCGCCATTTAAGGGTTAAACAGCGGTGATCACACCACTTCACAAAAGAGGTAGTAAAGCAAATACAAAAATTTATAGACCAATAGCTCTAACCTCAAACATCATAAAAATCTTTGATAGAGTGCTAAGATTTGATCCCAATGATTTGATTACAATTGGATTTGATTACAAATCAAATACTCACAACATCTGCATAACCCTGGATAATACGGGATCAGAACAGGGTGCTCCTGCCTCTCTGTTGCTAGATCACCGAGACACAGCCTTGGGTGCCATGGAAGACAAGCGAAATGCAGATGTAATATACACATACTGTACTTTGCAAAAGCTTTCAACATATGTGACCATGGTGTTATTGCGTACAAAATGTGTGCAAAAGGAATTACTGGCAAAGTAAGGAGATGGATCTTCAACTTCCTAACAAACAGAATACATTGTAATAGTAAACACAGTAAAATCCAGATCATCTACTGTAAAAAGCTCAGTACCCCAAGGTACCATACTTGCTTCGGTACTTTTCTCATCCTAATATCAGACATGGAGGATACAAACTACAAAACTGTATCATCAGTTGCAGATGACACCAAGATTTTCATGTGAGTAGACAATATAGAGGATACAGCAAACCTCCAGTTGGATGTAAATCGGGTTTTTCAATGGGCCAAAGATTATGATATGATGTTTAATGAAAATAAGTTCCAGCTCCTGCGATATGGAAAAAATTAAAATTTAAAAACTGAAACCATAGTTAAAACCAAATCAAATCACACTATTGAATGAAAAAACAATGTAAAGGACTTAGGTATAATCATGTCGGACCTTACCGTTACAGAACACCATAAAGTAGCTGTCATGACTGCAAGAAAAATTACAGGTTGGATAACAAGGACCTTCCAAACAAGGGATGCCATACCAATGACGATACTTTATAAGACACTAGTGCTCTTTAGGGTGGAATATTGTTGCGCTCTAACAGCCCCATTCAAAGCCGGAGAAATTGCTGTCCAGGAGAGTGTACAAAGATCCTTTACCGCTAGAATCCACTCTATAAGTTGTCTTAATTATTGGGACCAGTTAAAAGTTTTAAGTCTGTATACTCTAGAGCGCAGGCGAGAGATACATAATAATCTACACGTGGAAGATATTAGAGGGACTGGTTCCAAATCTGAACACAGAAATAACATCACATGAGAACATCACATGAGTAGGCATGGCAGTATGTGCAGAGTACCTCCATTGAAAAGCAGAGGTGCAATAGGTACGCTGAGGGAGAACACTATCAACATCAAGGGCCCAAGACTTAACATGCTCCCTATACACGTAAGCAGCAAGAAGCATAACTGGCTGGCCTCTCAGTGTTCGAGAGATAACACGACAAACACCTTTGAAGAATACCTGATCAACCCGGCTATGATTCATATGTCGGACTGCGAGCAGCTGCATACAACAGCCAGGTCGACCAGACGACCAACAGGGAGGCCTGGTCAGAGACTGGGCCACAGGACCATTGATTCCTGAAAGCTACCCAAGGTAGTAGGCAGGGTATGTATGGTCTCGGGTAGGCAATGTGACCACAGTACCGAAGCCTCGATTGCTGCACTTCAGGTACAAGGATTCACAAACACGCACCGACCTGTTGTTGACTGAATTAGAACATCTAAAAATGAGGAATGAGGTACCACAGGAGAAAGGTCTTCTGAAGGTGAGAACGTCCTTCTAGCATCGTGCTCTAGAGCAGTATCTGTCGGCTCATTTTCCAACAGATGTTTGCCTCTCTGGGACTTGCTCTCAATGTCTATGACATCCTCGCTTTGGGAGGGGTCCATGAGGGAGGCTCCGGCCTCCGCCAGTGCTGTGAGAGCCTCCTGGGTAACTGCAGTGACAACACACTGGCCCAAAGAAGTTAGCTCTTTTTTTTTTTTTTTTTTTTTTTTTTTTTTTTTTTCTCCCCAGGGATATTCCTGCACGGGCCCTAAGCCTCTGGCTGGCCCACTAAGTGTTTCTTGTTTCTGTTTTACTTGGGCGGAGTATGAGTATTTATGACTCGTATGGTCTCTTCAGTAAGATTTTGTCCCATGTATTTAACAACTTCTTCTGGTCTGTTGAATCTTAGTTGAAATCTTAATGGGTTTGTAACTCTGCACTGTGTTAGATAATGTTCCAGTGGTCTGTCGGGCATTTCTCCACAGTGCTGACATTTCCTCTCATCTTCCGGGACTTGTAAGCCCATTTTCCATGCATATGGGTATCCAAGCCTGATGCGATGTAAGTGTACTTCTGTTGTTCTACTGCTCCCTTTCATCAAACTAAGTGGTTTGCAATTAAATTCAAAGATAAGCTCCCGGTGAAGTGAGGAAAGAATGCCCAGTCGGCATTCTTTCCAAGATGGCTGATCATCGGCAACTCCCAGTTTGCGTGTTCCCTATGCTAATGGCTGGATGTTCTTCCAGGAAGAGATGAACCCTCAAGAGGCAAGATGTTGATGTAGTGTTGAGTCACCTCATACCGAATTACAATTTGATTTAGATTGACTAACGATGCATTCATTCTTGGGGCCTATATTAAAAGTTTCTCCTTGCTTTGCCCAAACGATTAACCACCCTGCTGTGCCAAGTTTATTGTGAAATTCCCCCTGTGCGCATGAAATAAAGTGTTCCCCAAAAATTCTTTTTTCTTTACAAAATGATAAATTTCCTTCCCTGAACATGTCTATGTAAACATAAATACCAAATTCCACTTACTTTGACTGTGGGGACGTGGTCAAGGTGCACTGTGACGCCGTCAGGGCGCTCTGTGACGTCAGGGCCTAGTCGCCCGTGCATGAATCGCCCAGACATGGTCGTGTGGGCCATTCAAGCACCGGGTGTTGCCACAAATATATTTTCAATTATTTGTTTTATATATTTCCAATGCGGTTTTATTTATTTTTTTATCGTATATGATGCATATTTGTGTCCTTTACAATATGTACACAGTAGAATGTTCATAATCTTCCATGGAACTGTGATACATGTGTCAGTAATGTGTCCACAATAAATGTTTATTGTCGCAATATTACTTGTTAAAAATTCACTAAAATTACAGTATGTACAGTTTCACACACTATTTACACAGTAACACACTGTATTACACACTCAGTACTTCGGAAGTGAGTAATAATCAACGAAGTAGTCCATATTGCACAGCGCGACTTGGCTCTCGTTGCACCAGGTACAGATAAATTTTCGCTTCCTGTTTCTTCATTCTGTGTGCTTGTAAATAATGCACTCACGTACACCCTTGACTTTAGTACTTGTAGGTTGCATGTAGCCAAGCTTGTAAAGCATAAGGTAGTCTTGAAAATATTATAGGAAAAGATAAATTTGTAAGGTAGTCTTGAAAAGATCGCTTTGTATGGTCCCACACAGGAAGAGATTCAGCTTGCCTCAAAGTGTGTCCGTCAGTCAGAAAGAGATTCAGCTAGCCTCAAAGAATGTCCATCAGTCAGGAAGAGATTCAGGTATGAACAAATATAGATTCAGGTATTCTTGAAAATATAAATGGAAAACACTACCATGGAAGCTGCTAACACTGTTCATCTATGCTACTTGTATCAGATACATCATCACTGAACGCAGAAAACGATTCATCTATGTATCATCTAAATAAATTGGAGATAGCATACAATTGCAAAGGTGACGCTCAGAGCTATAACTGGATACGCTCGCTGTATCATCCTTGTAGGTGCTATATAACTTGCATCTGACCTTTGTGTTAGGTCCTTATTGCGCCTAGCTTCACCAATTTTATGACCCTTATGTTCTTCAAACAATAAGGTTTGAATTTCACAGACAGAGCGTTATCTTTCAACACCGGGTCGGACACGTGTTTGGGAGCCAGAGGCGCGTACGCCACCCATGGTTGCTCACTCAGAATTAACCCAGCCAGCAGCCCTAGGGCATTCTGGGAATTTTTTCAAAGATGGCTGTCTCTCACTGGAGGTCCTAAGAGTCCATTTCGTACACAACCAACCTCGTACACATTTAGAATGGGTACCAAAAAAATCATAGTTTTTTTTGGTTGGTGCAGTTTCCCGCCGACCGAGAATACTCGGTTGGCGCAGTTAAGTGGTTAATGTCTTTACAGGCTACCTGTCGGCTGGCCTGATTAATGCATGTTCACATGGGAAGGGTTAATAATTGTAATTACAGTATTGCATATTTGATTAGTGTAGAACTTCTTGGAAAGGGGAATTCTCAGATATAGTTGACCCAGAATTAGTGTAGAACTTCCTGGAAAGTGGAATTCTCAGGAATAAGTTAAGTGGAATTAAGAGGCAAATCATATTATCTACATTGTAACTAATGAGAGTTTGGAACAGTTATATTACTCCTTAATATAATTGCTAAACGAGTTTAAACATGTTAGGTGTCCTTGAGCAAGACTTTAGATGCCTGGAATGTTTACAGTTGGGGTATATGCTGACAGGCCAAAATGTGAAGGTGCTAATAAATAAGAGAAATGGAAGTGGGCCGAGTATACAGCCCACCTTTAGTGAGAGAATGGAAAATTACTATAATTATTTCTTATTTTTAACTTTATCTAAAATTTTCCTTCCATCCTATAGGATTCCCAGTAGTGTGTGATGACGACTCGGCGGAGGCGTGCGGGGTCTGAGTCGTATGTGGAGGAGCTGACTGTGCCTGGGCCTTCTGGAAATCAGAACCCTTACCAGCAAACCCCCCAGTCTGCTTACACACAGCCCCCATATACCTTGTATCCTCAGGTAGGTTATCTTGTACTCCTACCACCAGTATAGCCACCAGCACAGTCACCATGAATTAATATCTTTCTTGCCAGTCCTCATATTAATTTGTTTCTATTTATTTGTATATAAATGAATGTTGTGTTATAAATTCGTTATCATAATTGTCCTTTTTCACTGTATGTTGCATGTGTTTATGCAACTCATTGTATGCAGTTTTAATGGCTTCTTGTTGCTAGCTACAAGAATAGTTCCACCAAAATCAATCCACACCATGCCTTTGTTAATTATTGTAACCCCACTGGGGACCAGAGGACAAAACCTGGGCCCCCTTTATAGAGGCTCGAGGAGTAGGGAGGATATGAGATAATCTTAACCAAGGAAAGGCTATCAGAAAGGTGGGTAAGCCTATACAGGCAATCAGGAAGGTAAACAAATTTTAGAAAACATGACCCCCCAAACTGAGTAAACCACAAATCATAAAGCAGTTGACTTGGTAATTACACCTGCACTTCACCAGATGTCTAGCTTCTTTATCCTTCAAATACTCAGTCTGTAATCTTCCTGGCACACATGGCTTTTACCACTTCTTTGAGTCGCAGTTATTCGGACAAGGACTGGCTGTTCTGGATATTATTCAGTCGTGCTGGGGCCATTGCATGTACATTTTTTCTGTATTTTAGGAATCGTTTTTTTATGCCTCATTTGAGTGACTGATAAACTGTTTCTCAAACTGTGTGTACCTAAAGTAATTACCTAAGTGTAATTACCCAAGTGTAGTTACAGGATGAGAGCTACGCTCGTGGTGTCCCGTCTTCCCAGCACTCTGTCATATAACGCTTTGAAACTACTGACGGTCTTGGCCTCCACCACCTTCTCACCTAACTTGTTCCAACCGTCTACCACTCTGTTTGCGAAAGTGAATTTTCTTATATTTCTTCGGCATCTGTGTTTAGCTAGTTTAAATCTATGACCTCTTGTTCTTAAAGTTCCAGGTCTCAGGAAATCTTCCCTATCGATTTTATCAATCCTGTTACTATTTTGTATGTAGTGATCATATCGCCTCTTTTTCTTCTGTCTTCTAGTTTTGGCATATTTAATGTCTCTAACCTCTCCTCGTAGCTCATGCCCTTCAGTTCTGGGAGCCACTTAGTAGCATGTCTTTGCACCTTTTCCAGTTTGTTGATGTGCTTCTTAAGATATGGGCACCACACAACCGCTGCATATTCTAGCTTTGGCCTAACAAAAGTCGTGAACAATTTCTTTAGTATATTGCCATCCATGTATTTAAAAGCAATTCTGAAGTTAGAAAGCGTGGCATAGGCTCCTCGCACAATATTCTTTGTGGTCCTCAGGTGATAGTGTTCTATCTAGAACCACCCCTAGATCTCTTTCTTTATCAGAATTCTTTAAAGATTTCTCACATAATATATAGGTTGTGTGAGGTCTATGTTCTCCTATTCCACATTCCATAACATGGCATTTATTAACATTAAATTCCATTTGCCAAGTGGTGCTCCATATACTTATTTTATCCAGGTCATCTTGAAGGGCATGACAATCGTCTAAGTTTCTTATCCTTCCTATTATCTTAGCATCATCAGCAAACATGTTCATATAATTCTGTATACCAACTGGTAGATCATTTATGTAGACAATAAACATCATTGGTGCAAGAACTGAACCCTGTAGTACTCCACTTGTGACATTTCTCCAGTCCAATACATTGCCTCTGATCACTGCCTCATTTTTCTATCAGTCAGAAAATTTTTCATCCATGTTAGAAGCTTACTTGTCACCCCTCCAATATTTTCCAGTTTCCAGAACAACCTCTTATGTGGAACTCTGTCGAAAGCCTTTTTTAGGTCCAGATAGATGCAGTCAATCCAACCATCTCTTTCCTGTAATATCTCTGTTGCTCGATCATAGAAACTGAGTAAATTCGATACACAGGATCTTCCAGATCGAAAACCATACTGTCTGTCTGATATTATATCATTTCTCTCCAGGTGTTCTACCCATTTAGTTTTAATTATTTTTTCCAATATTTTGACTATTACACTTGTCAATGATACCGGTCTATAATTAAGGGGGTCTTCCCTGCTCAACCCGTTCTCGCAAATTTAATAAGTCAATATTGACTTATTAAATATGTGCATAGGTGACATACTTAACATAATAGATACCCTTAAAAAGATTCATAGAAAACACCGACCTTACTTAACCTTGTTAGTATCTTAAGATAAGCATCTTATTGCATCGTAATTACAATTATTACCTAACCTATAATAGGTATAGGTTAAGTAATAATTGTAATTACGAAGCAATAAGATGCTTATCTTAAGATACTAACAAGGTTAGGTAAGGTCGGTGTTTTCTATGAATCTTTTTAGGGGTATCTATTATGTTTAGTATATCACCTATGCACGTAGTTAATAAGTCAATATTGACTTTACGAATTTGCGAGAACGGGTTGTCCCTGCTTCCACTTTAGTAGGTTGGAACTATGTTAGCCTTTTTCCACACATCAGCTACAACTCCTGTAAACAGGGATGCCTGAAAAATCAGTTGAAGTGGAATGCTGAGCTCGGGTGCACATTTTCTCAGAACCCATGGTGTAACTCCATCTGGACCAACTGCTTTATTCTTATTTAGCTCCTTGAGCATTTTTTCCACTGCGTCTCTAGACACCTCAATGTGCTCTATGTTGTTCTCTGGAATTCTTATTGTATCTGGTTCCCTGAAGATTTCATTTTGTACAAACACACTTTGAAACTTTTCGTTTAATGTTTCACACATTTCCTTTTCATTTTCCGTGAATCTATTTCCCATTTTCAACCTCTGAATATTATCCTTTACCTGCAATTTGTTGTTTATGAATTTATAGAATAGACTTTGTTCTGTTTTACATTTGTCTGCAATCCCTTTTTCAAAATTTCTTTCTGCCTCTCTCCTCACTGCCGTGTAGTTGTTTCTCGCATCTTTGTATCGCTGGTATGTTTGGGGGTTTGGCCTCTTCCTGTATTGATTCCATTTTTGTGTCTTTTGGTCTCTGATCCTTTCGCAATTTCTGTTGAACCAATCCTGTTTCCTAGTTCTGCATCTCTGTTTTGGTATAAATTTTTTTGTGCCTTTATCATATATTTCACAAAACTTGACATACATCTCATTCACTTCCTTGCCTAGCAGTCTGTCCAATTATACTCGCTAAATTTTTTTCTAAGGTTGCCATAATGTCCTCTCCTAAAGTCAGGTTTTTCAATTGCATCAACCTTATGATAATGTCTGGGTGTTTGTTGTTGCCACCCTTGCCCAGACAGGGTTACCTTCTCTGGTGGGCTTGGGTGGCTGTCTGTGAGAGGCCAACTTCCATTGAAAGGTGCCTCACCCTTATCAATGCTCAGGTCTTTGACTCTTGTGCGAGGCTTTGTAGATGGGAGCAGTCTGGGGTTTTCGTTTACAGGTAGCACAGGGTGTTTGAATGCTCATTCTATAGCACCCTATTCACATCTTTTAACAGCCGGCAAGGCCATAGGCTGCTTTCGGTGTTTCATGGGGGGTGACATCTCCATTTTTGGCCTTTCCATGTTGCTCTTCCTCTGACTTCTTTGAGTCTATCTCCCTCCCTTTCTTTACTCTCCTGTCTGGCATGGTGTGTATTTGATCACTTTGGCATCCTTTTTGCTGGGGTCAGCACTTGTTGGCTTTGGTATTTCTGAGGTAGGGAGCTGTCAATTAGTGGCCAATGTGTGATTGTATTATTATTTACATTATTGTATTATTATACAGTCTCCGTGGTGTAGTGGTAAGACACTCGCCTGGCGTTCCGCGAGCGCTATGTCATGGGTTCGTATCCTGGCCGGGGAGGATTTACTGGGCGCAATTCCTTAACTGTAGTCTCTGTTTAACGCAACAGTAAAATGTGTACTTGGTTTGAAAAAACGATTCTTCGCGGCAGGGGATCGTATTCCAGGGACCTGCCTGACGCTATGTGTACTAGTGACTGTACAAGAATGTAACAACTCTTGTATATATCTAAAAAAAAAAAAAAAAAAAAAATTGGGTTCAGTCAGTGTGTGAGGCTCTGAGTCAGGCATTGTACTCGCCTAGTTGTGCTTGCGGGGGTTGAGCTTTGGCTCTTTGGTTCTGCCTCTCAACTGTCAATCTACTGGTACTCACCTAGTTGTACTCGCCTAGTTGTGTTTGCAGGGGTTGAGCTCTGACTCTTTGGTTCCGCCTCTCAACCGTCAATCAACAGGTGTACAGATTCCTGAGCCTATTGGGCTCTATCATGTCTACACTTGAAACTGTGTATGGGGTCAGCCTCCACCACATCACTTCCTAATGCATTCCATTTGTCAACCACTCTGACACTAAAAAAGTTCTTTCTAATATCTCCGTGGCTCATTTGGGCACTCAGTTTCCACCTGTGTCCCCTTGTGCGTGTGCCCCTTGTGTTAAATAGCCTGTCTCTATCTACCCTATCAATTTCCTTCAGAATCTTGAATGTGGTGATCATGTCCCCCCTAACTCTTCTGTTTTCCAGTGAAGTGAGGTTTAATTACCGTAGTCTCTCCTCGTAGCTCATACCTCTCAGCTCGGGTACTAGTCTGGTGGCAAACCTTTGAACCTTTTCCAGTTTAGTGTTATCCTTGACTAGATATGGACTCCATGCTGCGGTTGCATACTCCAGGATTGGCCTGACATATGTGGTATACAAAGTTCTGAATGATTCTTTACACAAGTTTCTGAATGCCGTTCGTATGTTGGCCAGTGTACAGATTCCTGAGCGTCTCGAGCTCCATCATATCTATATTTGAAACTGTGTATGGAGTCTGCCTCCACCACATCACTGCTTAATTCATTCCATTTGTTAACTACTCTGACACTGAAAAAAATCTTTCTAATGTCTCTGTGGCTTATTTGGATACTAAGTTTCCACCTGTGTCCCCTGTAACTTCCCATTGTGTTGTTGTTGGGATGGAAGTTGTGGTCATTTTCTAACTTCCCATTTACTCTGC